CAGCCTATCATAAAGGAAACCAGTCCTGAAAATTCATTGGAAGATCTGATGCTGAAGCTGAAACTCCAATACTTTGGTCACCTGATGGAGAAAACTGACTCATTTGAAACTACCCTGATACTGGGAAAGATTGAATGCTGGAGAAGGGGACTACAGAGGATGAGATGGTTGTGTGGCATCACCAGCTCAATGGATATGGGTTTGAGTAAACTCTGGGCTTTGGTGATGAACAGGGAATTCTGGTGTGCTACAGACCATGGGGTTGCAAAGAGTCAGACATGACTGAGTGACTGAACTGAACCGACTGAATGCCTTCTTGCCCTGGGATAGATTTTGAAAGTGAATTCAGCCATTCACCACATTCTATTTTCCTAATACTAACATTTCTCATAATATCTCAGCATTTTATATTTGAACATAAAGGGCAGAAAAAAACAGTATAATAGCAAGTTTTTTCATAAAAATTGAACAATATAAATGAGAAGGAAAACAACTGTCAGTTATAGGTAGAAGCATCAGTATGGAAAGCAATAAAACAATAAAAATGGCAGTTTCAGGAAAGACAAATAGCATTATAGTTTTGAACTGATATTATGAGATAAAAGAAAATTGTAGAGTTGTATAAGTGTATTAACACACAAAATTGTAGCTGCAGACAATTTAATGAAGGAGTAAATTTGCAGTTTCTTAATTAATAGAGTCAACCTATAGTCTCAAGTTTTATTATTTAACTCAAAGTGGCTTTTTTGCCATTTGAATTTCACCAAATAATTTCCAAATTCAGGGTTTATGTATGTGCTACCCGCCACTGAAATTCACAAATGACTCATATATTAATATATATTTATATATACATCAATACTTAATTTATAACACTTAGCAGATAGTTTAATTGGCTAAATCCCACTTAAATATGTTCACTCAATTAAATTATCTATTCCCCCTAAATTTCCTGCAGACAAGAAACTACTGATTTCCTTTTTCTCTTCATTGTGAATTGTATCTGTGTGCTGTTAAAGACCTGCTAGATAGAACTAGACGGAGACAAAATCAGGTAAATTTATTCTAAAAGCTGTCATATTTAAGGAAGTCTTTTATTGTTTTTCACTTTGAAGGATTTTTTCCTGCTGTTTACAAGCCATAGAGGAACAAAGTTGCATAAATTTTACATGCTAATTAAGAGTAAAATTATAATCATTTATATGCTTTTTCAATGCTGTTAGTATTTCATTATAATTGAATTAATAGTCCAAGATACTACTTTCAAATTATGAATAAGAAACTCATCTGTACATTTTATTCTTACTCTGATTCACTAGTCCCATACTGTTGTTTATGTGGAATGAACCTAATAATCTCACACTAATAATAATAATCTTAAACTAATAATCTGTACACTAAATTCCTGAACATATAGTTAACTCAGAGCAAGAACATAATTATGATTGAGTCCATCCCAGAAAATCCAAAATAACTGGATTCAAAGTTGTTTACCAAGATATATATTACAAAATTGACAAGTTAATACACATTGCAGTATCTTTTAAGAATTTCAAATAATTTTGAAATTTTTGTTTGCAGGAAAGCCATTTCTTCATGCATCATAGTTTTTGGTTAACTACAAATGTTCTTTTACCCTCAGTTCTCCATTTTCTCAGGTTGCATTTTTGCACTATTTCAAGGGGATAGAGCCCATGAATACAGACTAAATTTTGTCAAGTGAGCATAACCAATGACAGTTCATTTTGTAACTTGTAAATATCCCTTCATTTTCAACATACTTGAATTGCTTTCAAGTTCCTAGGTGGTGCTAGTGGTAAAGAACCCATCTGCCAATGCAGGAGACGCAGGTTCGATCCCTGGGTTGGGAAGATCCCCAGGAGGACATGGCAATCCACTCTAGTATTCTTGCCTGGAGAATCCCCACGGACAGGGGAGCCTGGTGGAATACAGTCCATAGGGTCACAAAGAGTCATACATGACAAGCGGCTTAGCACAGCACACACAGTTTGGCAATAGTTTTAAACACACACTCACACACAATATAGTTCCATATGTGTGTGTGTGTGTGTGTGTGTGTATTCCAAGCATTCTAGAACATAAGAGACATTATCATGAAAAGTTCCTGTAATTCAATAAATAAGATATCAGGTTACTTACATGACAATTTAATCACCATAACTTTTGGACTTCACAAAGATAGGCGTTCTTAAAGTGCAAGATATTTTAAAGCAGCTTTCCTGTGTGGCCAAGAGCTGTTCAATTTTTCCCTTTAAATGAAGTGAAGGGATGTTGATAGAACCTAAAATAATGTTCTCATCCTGTTTGATTTAGTGTGTAATTTGAAGGCTGCCAGAGATTTGTTCAATGGACCTTGATGGATGTTTCCAATCATTGCTTTTTCTAGCTGTATCAAGGCCAAGGTCCACCAGATGTCAGTACAATATAAATAATCCGAATTTTCTTATTTAAAAGTCAAATATAGAAGACAAAAAGAGAAACTGCCACAAAATAAAGCCATCTCATTGAATTTTAAAAGATTTACCTGTACTAAGTGGTAAAAGTTGCAAAACTGATCAAAATATGATATTATTTTTAATGGTTTCATTTTATTAAGTTCCTTGTTAAGGTAATCAGATAAGGCTGATTTTGTATTTTTCCTCCTTCTTCCTGCTTCATTATTATTCAGTGGTAGTTTTGCCAGATGACTTCCTTATTCACTGACCATTTTATAGATTAACATTTTATTTTTTTAAATTTTCTCTTGATTTTTTTTTTCTATGCTAGAAACAGTGTCAAATCATGAAAGCAGCATATTCCCTAACACATTTTTTTTTAATTTGATCACAGTTAAAGGTAAATGGGAACATCTGCTGACAATGAGTTGAATCTTTGGATGTTTAGGTATGCCAATAACTTTTTTCATGTATTTTTGAAATTATACTTTTAGTTGCTGATGAGAAAGTTGTTAGTTTACATCATTAACACAAACATACCTACATACAGAGATATGTAAGAAAAAAAAAAGATTCAATAGAAGTGAGTAAAAAATATAACTAAGCCAATCTTTGCCTCTCTTTGTTCATGGATTCTTTGTGTGAGAAGACCATTAAAAAGGTTTGCACCTTCATCTCAGTAACAGAAAACTTTCCTTCTCTCAAATTTGCCTTCTTTCTCTCCAATTTTTTTTCTTTTACAATACTGACACCTTTGTCTTACTCTACCAAGTGTAATTACTGCACAGTGATGGAATGTAAGGACAAAGGAATGGACAGTCAGTCCAATTTGTATGCTTCCAATGGTTCATCATAAATTTTTGCCAACTTTAGAGTTATGACATAGGCAGCATCTTCAGCCAGGGAGCTCAAACCCACATCTTATATCTCTATGTTTCCTGCATTGGCAGGCAATTTTATTTTTTTTTTTACCACTAGCACCACCTGGGAAGCCCCCATTTCTTTAAGAAATACCAGATTAGAGCTTTCCTCTAATACTTAGGTAATTCTTTCCTCGCTTTGAGTATGCTCAAAAATACTTTTCTATTTCTTTATGTGCCAACATTTGCTTATTCTTTTTTTTTTTTTTTTTTTTTTTTTTTTTTTTTTTTTTTTTTTTTTTTTTTTTTTTTTTTTTNTGGTCCAAACCCTTTCCAAAGGTCAAAGAAAATAAAAGAATACCTGATATCGCCATGATTCCTGTTTCAAAATTGTATCATACTAAGCAAAGTGAGTCAGACAAAAACTGATATCACTTATTTGTGGAACCTAAAAGATGACATAATTGGACTTTTTTTTTTTTTTTTTTTACAAAAAGTAAACATTCACTGTCTGAGAAAACAAATTTAAGTTTACCAAAGGGGTAAGGTGGGGGAGGGAATAAATTGCAAGTTGGGGATTAACATATATACACTACCAAATATAAAGTATGAACAAGGACCTACTGTGTAGCACAGGGAACTCTACTCAATACTCTCTAATAACCTATGTGGGAAGAAAGTCTTGAAAGGAATATATGATTATGTATAATTACATGTTTAACTGTATGTATAACTATAACATATATGTATATGTATATAACAAAATCACTTTTCTGTTCACTTGAAACTAACATAGCACTGTAAATTAACTCTGAAAAGTGAAAACAAAAGTGTTAGTTGCTAAGTTGTGTCCCACTCTTCGCAACCCTAGCCTGCCAGTCTCCTGTGTCCATGGGATTTCCCAGGTAGGAATATTGGAGTGACTTGCCATATTCTCCTTCAGGGGACCTTCCCTACCTAGAGATCAAACCTGCGTCTCCTGCATTGGCAAGCAGAGTATTTACCACTGAGACACCAAGGGAGCCTGATTTAGTTAGTGTTAAGAGGCACCAAAATGAAATAACAGAGCAAATTTGTCTTCATTTACATTTTGCTCTAAAGAGGTAATCTGGAGATTTAAACATTGTATTGAACTTTTCTTTTCCCACCCCCTCAGTTGGGAAACATTTTTCAAGTTCAAATTAAACAACTTATAAACTCTTACTGCATGACTCATATATCTACCTGGGGCTGTCATTCTATGGAGCATCAGGGAAAGGGCAAAGTATTATTTTCATGAAGTTTCATTTGAATATATCAGAGCCCCTACAGTGTGAGGACCTTTGAAAAATCCAAAAATAGATAGTATGTGCTTAGTGGAAAAAATTACGATTTGAAGCTGGTTGTACCTAAGGAAGGATTTGATTCTTTTTTTTTTTTTTTTAATTGTCCCCTGGGCTATTTTTAAATAGATGGTACCTTTCTTTCATCTCTTCTAAGGCTTGCTGATTACTCTGTGTCTTCCTTTTGGAAGATGAAGAATTTAAGAACTGGGATGTAGTATAGCAAAGAGTTCAAAGTCTATCATAATCAACCAACATATCTGAGTGCATAAAGAAGAAAACTGCAACAAAAGGAAGCCAAGGGGGAAACTGGGACAGCAGTGTAAATTACACAAGTAGTTTGCAAACTGATGGTGTCTAAAACAAGCCGAAGGCTTTATTGTGGCTTTGTCTTGAATGTCGAATATCTCCTATCTAGATCTAGCAGATTTCTTGACACGATTTTCTGCCAAAAAACAAAAACAAACAGTTACTTTAACTTTTCTATATCTTTGAGTATCTTTTAAAGTTACATGATGCAGTGCAATTTTTTTACTAATGAAATAACAGCCAAATATGTTGCATATGTTAATCTGTAATCCAGTTACCAGAATGGGAAGTGAAGTGAAGTGAAAAGTCGCTCAGTCTTGTCTGACTCTTTGCAACCCCACAGACTGTAACCCACTAGGCTTCTCTGTACATGGGGATTTTCCAGGCAAGAATACTGGAGTGGTTTGCCATGCTCTCCTTGAAAGGATCTTCCTTGGAAAGGAAAAGTGAACTAAAGGTGGAAAATAGTGACAAATATAGATATGCTGAATTGATGAATAATCCTCAGGGAAAACACACATGTGTACACACACACACACTAAATAAATAGATAAATAATAAAGCAAACAAAAACATCCTTCAGTCCTGCACAGTTACAGTGGGTACCTCATCTGTTGAAAACTCCACCCTGTCCCTTACTCTGTAGGAACACATAATTACAACAGCTAAAGTTATAGTCACCCTGCTTATTTAACTTATATGCAGAGTACATCATGAGAAATGCTGGGCTGGAGGAANCCTGGCTCTCGGAAAGATTGAAGGCAGGAGGAGAAGAGGATGACAGAGGATGAGATGGTTGGATGGTATCACTGACAGTGGAGATGTTTGGGTAAACTCCGGGAGTTGGTGATGGACAGGGAGGCCTGGCGTGCTGCAGTCCATGGGGTCGCAGTCAGACATGAATGAGTGAATGAACTGAAGTGAACTGAAAGTTACAGAAAAACAGAGTGAAATGTTTCAGTTTTCAGGAGTTGAGTACAAACAGCAGCTCTGACCTTTAAATCTCTAGTGACTAAGGGCAGTGTTTCATCCTAGAACAAATATTTTAAAAGATTAGTAATCAATTAAAAAAATACTGTAGGTTTCTGAATTGAGTGATCATTTACAACTAATAAATAAAAAGTCAAATTTTTACTTTTATCCACTTGCTTGACAGGTGTTCTGTAAAGGGTTTAGTGTGGCTGGAAATGGTATATGGAAAGCAGTATGCTTTTAGAAGAAAATAAAAATGTTTATTCATATTTCACATTACCATTTCCAAGCAACTTTTAATAACTGTTAAAGAGGCAAAATGCAGAAGGAAACGAATATAAGATAGGCATCAGGAAAGTTTATCACAGTGACTGAAAAAGCACTTTCAAGCTCATGGCTCTTTTTCAGTGTCAGAGTCTGCATGAAGCAACCACTGGTACCCATTTGATGTCAAAGGACTGCAAAAAGGAGAATGAGCCAGGGCCATCGGGCCTAGAATAATTAGTGCTGATGTATTTTGTGAACAGGGGTTATCAGAATAAAATAGTATGAAGCCCTCTCCTGCTGTATAATGCACACTAAGGATATATATATAGTCCATGACTATTAATAGAAAGAATATTTATAAAGAGTGAGGGCCTTTACTAACCTCCAGGACCAAAAGCATGTAGGAATGGCTATCAGATTTTCCCTGACTGACAAGTTGCTGAAACCTAGAAACAAAATTAAATGGTAGACAGTCTTTAGGATTACTCTGGCAAATGCTTCTTTTAACATGAAAGGAATAGAGCCTTTAAACTATAATACATAAAATATGTAGGCTATATAGTAAACCTATAAAGATAGAAACTTCCTTTTGATATGTTAGTTTGTTTTTTTTTCCTTTTATCCTAAGTTTGGCAAATAAAAAAAAGTTTATAATAGCTTTTAGATAATTAATATTTAGAGATTGCCAAAATCAACTTTATTATTATTGCTTTTTTTTCTTTCAAAATACAAAAGGTTGGGATTATCTCACAGCCATTCTAGGCAATTCAAAGATAGTTTAAGACATAAGGAATGTCTTGTCAGTTTTGTAATTCTGAATATGAGGACTGAGTAGGAGAAAGGAAATATCAAGAACTGAGAGGTAAGAGCATACTTGAGAAAATAAATCATAGTTTTTCAAGGTTAGGAGACAGTTATAGCCAAAATTTAAAAATCAAATTATAAGTAAAGCTTATTAGGAATTTAACTTTTCTCAAAAATAGAAAAAAGTTAAATTGATGTAAAAGATTGTCACACATAGAGGGAGTTAACAAAATATTTTCATAAGAAAAACTTGTACAGTCTTGAAACGGAATAACCGTTGACTCACAGAAAGAAAATCCATTTTTTTTCCCAGTGTTTATCATCCATGTAAAAATTTAGAGAAAAATTATTAATAAATTCATACTTAAACATAAACCCACTAATAAGCAGTTGTGTTTAATATTTTAAGACATTTTGTTGCTTTTAATTTCATTTTTATATTGATATTTATAAGCTTTTAAAATAATTTTAAGATCACTTTATGTATATGGCTAAACATATACAAACATATTTATATTTAAATAAATATGTAATAATATTAGAGGTTATACATTTATATTTATAAGTTTACTTACTGACAGTAAATAAAATAACATATATTTAAATATATAATCTTGAGTATAACAATTGTCTAAACTGCCATGCCACATTCATTTACTAATATAAATATTCATATCTTTCTGTAATTGTTATACATAGTATACTCACAATCATTATATTAATATCATCTTTATCAGAATAATTAATTTTTGTTTCTTCCTGGTACAAAGAAAAGACAATCAACTGATAGTTATGTAGTTTTTATTCATAAACATGTTTCATATTACCTTTACAAATTTAAAAATGGCAAAAACTCCTTCACAACCAACATTATCTGAACTCATTTAACCATTTGATGATCCCTAGCCATTTAAAAAGGTGTAAGGGCCAATCTGGGGCTTCCCTGGAGCCTCAGTGGTAATGGGTCTGCTTGCCAATGCAGGAGACTTGGGTTCAATTCCTGGATCGTTGAGTGAAAAGACAAATGTGTACCCATAAGTCACTTCAGTCATGTCCTACTCTTAGGGAAACTATGGACTGTAACCTGCCAGGCTCCTCTGTCCATAGGATTCTCCAGGCAAAAAATACTGGAATGGGTCACCATGCCCTCATCCAGGGGATCTTTCCCACCCAGGGATCAAACTCACATCTCCTGCATTGGCAGTTGGGTTCTTTACCACTAGCACCACCTGGAAAGCCTGAAAAGACAAACAATAGTCTTTAAATCAGAATCACTAACTCACTTTAAATTTTCAAAGATGCATATATTAATTATGTCTATTATATAAAAATGTTCTAATTTAGAAAATCCTGTAATCCTAATATTGAACATATACCCTAAGGAAACTAAAATTCAAAAAGATACATGTACCCCAATGTTCCCTGCAATATTATTTACAATAGCCAGGACATTGAAGCAACGTAGATACCCTTAAAGAGCTAACATTTTTAAAGTTCAAGAAACAAAACTAATTGTTCTTATTCCTTTTAGAAATTCTTAGCATTCTATCTCTACAATTCTAGTATGAAAAATACTAGTAACATTTTATTTGATTAATTTTCAAACTTTTCCAATAAATGATAAAAGGAAATACAATTGAAGAATGGGGATAGAGAAAGATAGAGATAGAAAAGTATAGATATATATGGAGGGGAGAGAAGAGATACAGAAAGGTGGAGAGAAACACAGAGAGAAATAACTAATTATAGCTAGGTTAAACAATGACCTGCAGCTTTGACCATGTTATCAAGCCAGAAGATTAAAAGGGCATTGTTCATTAATCTAGGAAGTATACTAGACTGAAGGGAGAGGGAAGGGTTCTCATATTAAAAAGTCTTTCAAACAGACAAAATGTGGTCATATATATTATTTGTAACTATATATGATATATATTTATTTATAATTTTTTTCTAAGGTGTGGTTCCTGATTTTTCTCAGTGAGAGTATACCTAAGTTCAAATATTTGGTACTATTTGTTCCACGACAAATAAGCATGCATAAAACCAGATGCTAGCCAGGAGATATATTAGAAAACCATGTGCTCACAGCAGCTTCTATAGAAGCGGAGAAATAAAGAATCAGATCTCTCAAATGCTATTTCTCATGTTATACTAAGTTTAAGAGTTCTAAGAAGTAGAAGAAAGGAGGAGGAAATCATAAATAATATCACTGGGCCAGTGAACTTGTGAAGTGGCTCAGTTGTGTCCATCTCTTCGCGATTCCATGGACTGTAGCCTACCAGGCTCCTCCATTCATGGAATTTTCCAGGCAAGAGTACTGGAGTGGGTTGCCATTTCCTTCTCCAGGGGATCTTCCTAACCCAGGTCTCCAACCCAGGTCTCCCACATTGCAGGCAGACACTTTACCATTTGAGCTACTGGGAAAGCCCGTTATCACCAGACCAAATAGCATTAATTGATTAATCATTTTCAGTGCTCAAACAAAACAAAACAGATAATAAACATAGAATGGGATTTAGTTCAGACTCTGGATGGCATTCAGACTCTGGCATTCAGTAACCTTGCCAAGTCCCCTGGTCTGGGAAGTGAAAATACCGTCTATCTTGGGGAAAGTGGAAGATGTAATCTCCACATTTTTTAGAGATCCTGCATAAGAACACCAGACAGTAAACAAGAAAATGGAAAACTTTACATCTACTAGGCCAGAAGATACATTAGGAAAAATCAGACTGCTTTAGATTTCTGATATTTTACAGAAATGTTGTAAACTCAAGGAATTGAGCAGGTGAAAAGGAGAAGAGAAAGAGAGAGTGTTGTGTGTGGAAAGAGAGAAATATTCTCTGAATATTAGTTAATTGTCATCACTTCTTCGAAAGGTTGGTCTATATGCAGTAAAGTGTACTTACAAGATCTGTTAAGCATTCTCAGTTCTAGAAGAAGCTAGCCTAAGAATAAGGTTGTGAAAAATACCTTCTGTTATCTAGTTTGTTAAGAAAATTGGCTGCAGAAAGATCTTAACTTTCTACATTCTTATTTTAGAGAGAAAATAGGGAACTTAAGAAATTTGCCAAGGTCATATCATTTGGAAATGCA